AGACCGAAGACTTTGACTCGTTTGCATGTGAGCAACAATTGAAATTTGAAATCTACAGAGTAACTTAAGCATGATGACTTTTCGAAAGCTTTGTGACCATCTTCAAGATTTTGGGCACCGACGCGTTTTCGGGCTGAAGACTTCACTACAACATCATGCAAAGAAAAACTCTGGGAATTGGACCCAATTTACCCGCAAGACTTCAGCAAATTGGCGGGGAATCTGTGAAAAGCTTTTCTGAAATGATAACTATGTAAATAGTGTCCTTGACGATCGGTCCTGTGTTTGAGAAAAATCCTCAAGATGCCGAAAGAGAGTACGGAGATTCTACCGAGAAGAAAAATATGCATATATATACATACATATGTAACAGCTCTGTCATCAAGATCGGTTAAATTTGCACCCCCCATGCGGTTAATCATCAATGTTTCTATCTTTCTGTCATCTCGTGATTTTTACCAGATGATCAAGTCAACTTCAATATGGGAACTGGCAAGTTGTAGATTTTTTCAAAAAAAAAGTTGCACCTACATACGAGTTTTTGAAGATTTATCACCCTTGTGGTCTTTTTTTCGCTCATTTGGTGTGTGAGAATTCCCGATTTTGGATCATCACATGGTTCTGAGGAAACTTTAATTTAAGAACATGTGGTAAATTGTCAATTCAATTGCCAAGTGGTTTTTTGAATTTTCGGCGATCATTCATCTCGTCTGAGTCGATCATCAGAAATCCTCGGGGCAATAGCGTGGTACGTAACATCATTTGCCCATCGAAATCGAATGGTGACCTGCATTTGTAGAAATTGAAAATCCATTCTTCAGCGAACGTTGAGATTTTCTAGACTGATAACTTAAAGATTGAAATCAAAGAAACCTCCGCCGCGGGTGTAAGATTCGGAGGGGAAGTTTTGGAAATAGAAAACCTCTTAGCCCTTCAACAATGAATAACAATTCTTCAATTCCCCCCTTTTCCACCCGTACAAATGAGTTCTTTTTCCTCATTTCCATATTCACAGAAGAGAAAGGGTTTAGGCATGTACATAATTAATTTGTGAATGATCTTCAATAACTAACTTCTTGTTGACTCCAAGATGATTTTGTGCAATTTTTGGAGCCTCTCAAGAAGTGCCATCCAGAAGTTTCTCCGACAGGTGCTCGGACATGCTTCAGAAGTTTCTCGAGCTTCTGGAGGACTTTTGAACTCCATAACCTAAACCCATGTAGGGAACCCCTCGCGCGCGCGTTCATGGTGTGCGACTCCTTTGACTCTGAGTCCTCTTAAGACTCACTGCCGGACTGAGACTACGTTTGGTCATGGAATTATAACCAAAAACCCATAAGCAAGACCATTCATGATTCTTATACACTTACGCTTGAGCTTTACAAAACAAGTTTATCCCTGAACTTCCCGATGTTGAAACCCGGTAACTGTTCCGCCATTCCTGCATGGTGACTGCTCTTCAAACTTTATTCAAATTTACGAATCAATTCGCCTGCATGAAAAGCCTTCAGGCACAGTTGCGTACGCACTCATTTATTCCTCATTCTCCTGTCGATCGTCTTTGTTTTCATGTGGTGATATGTACAAATTTACAGTTTTGTGAGTGAGTTACCTTGGTATGTAGGTGATATCGTGATGTAGGCTTGAGATCTCCTTGAATGGCAAAGTGACACTCAGGATAGTCAAAGGATGTGATTCGGCGTCAACGTTCCTCCAACCCAACGAATCCAGCTGGTCACATTGAGAAGATGATAAACATCCAAAGAGTGTAGATGACAGATGTTGAGAGTATACTATACTCAGTATCAAATAGTTGAAGTTGATCTGGATTCTGGACTCAAGTGGAAGTAAAATCAGTCGGATCAAATCATTTGAAGACCAATCAGAACAGTTTGACTCCAGTTATAAGAAACTATTTTCTTGAGTGGGAAATATTCGGGCAATACGAGATCAAATTTTACTTGGAAACAATGTAGACTTGATGACTGATTTGTTTATGAGAGACGCGTAACTTTGTATGCGTCTCTAATTTCGATCTTTGATCAATTGACGCTTTTCGTGTTCGCTGTTCTGAAAACTACAGTTTCAGAAAGACATTTGACTGTACCTACATACTAGCATCTTGTGACATATGGGCATTATGCTAATACATATACTTACTCCATAGTCCATCATATGTCACGGGTCACCTGCCACCGATCCAGAGAAATTTGTAAAGAACTCTTCACCTCAAAGAAATCAGATCACTCAGCCATGCCTACTACCTCGGCTTTCCTTCCTCGTGCCTTTGGTCTCACTCGAGCATTCACTACAAGCCTACGATCATTTGAATCATCTTCATCAGCTTTATCAAACTCTTCCCAATCTCCTCGATTGACTGAAGGTGAGTCGTGTAATCAATGACTCCAGATAAATTTATCTGACTGATATTGAGATATCGGATTTGTACAGGCATCACACATGGATCCTCAGTTCAACACCTCATGATCGATCGATTCGACCTTTCAAATCCAGATGCCACCTTTGATGAACCCTCAGTCTTCCCTTTGTCGAAGTATGTCTTTGGACAACCTAATCGACCAGATATCATTCATCGATGTGTGATGTTCGAACGTAGCCTTATGCGTTCAGGAAGTGCTAACACAGTCAGTTATCTTCACATGTTCTTATTCACAATCAAATCTTGAAGTTATTTGATTAATGCTGATTTTTTTATCTTTCAAAAATGTGTAGAAAACAAGGTCTGAAGTAGCTATGTCAGGTCGAAAACTTCGTCCTCAGAAAGGAACTGGTCGTGCTCGGATCGGTGACGCTTCTTCTCCTACCTTGAGAAAGGGTGGTGTGGCCTTTGGACCCAAACCTAAAGATTGGTCCCAAGGGATTCAACGTAAAGTGTGGGAATTGGGTCTAAGAACTGTCTTAAGTCAACGTTGGAGGGATGGAAACTTAATTCTTGTAGATCGGTTTTCAATGAACGATACAGAATATGGAAGCGAACAATTAGCTGAACTTATTACACAGAAAGGTTGGTCTGATGCAATGTTGATCGCTGGAGGAGATTGGGGTACACCCGAAAGTGGTTGGAAGGATGGAGGTTTATTACGACAAGCTTTGGGTCGTGATCATTTGATTACACCTGGAATTCGATTAGGTCAAACTGGATCTTGGTGGACACAACAACAAAAAGCTTTGATTCTTCCATGTCTTAATAATGTCGATCTGGCTCATCCACAAGACTTTCAACCTGGAAAACCTCATACAACTGATTGGAGACCTGGAAGAGTTGGAATCTATCATCTACTACTCAGGGAAAAGTGTATAATGGATATCGAAGCTATCAAGTATTTAGAACATAAGCTCACTTGGGATTTGAGGAGACCTATCAGCGCATTAGGTGTATCTAGAGTAGAAGCCGATCTACAACATTCACTTGCGTCAAATTCTCTAGCTAGCTTATTATGAACAAATGATTTGTATAGCTTCTTTACGCAAATCCACATGGTCAAGACGGAAAATTCAAACAGCCCTCTGGATTCATGGAATTCAACTCAGCTTCAGTCTGAGCTTTAGACCTAAAGAGATATCTTGCACGAGGAAACAGAGCTTTTCTACAGCCTATAGCCATGTTGCCTTTCATTCGCTTTTAAGTTCCTGAGCATATGATAAGAATAACCTAAAAGTTGAAGTCTACCAGTATAGACATATCAATTTGGTTGAAGGTAAAGAATGCGATCGATTTGAAGAAAGATGATATACATCATAAATCCATTTGAATCCAATTTGTAACGTGACTGAGAATGAGTTTAGATGTTCCCAAGTATCAAATTGATGATAAACAATACGTGCAAAGTTTGTGCAGATCAAATGAATTGAAATCGTTATTAATGATACAAGTGGATATGTTGATGAAGGATGACCAAGTAAGATTCAAACTGATATATCATTTTGATCAAACGATCCTATGGAAATAAAACAACCGAACCACATCGATCGTCCAAACTTTAGATCGATTTGATCAAACTAAGACATCCACAAAAGTGCGCAGAACAAACAAAACCTGCTATCACAATCGATCAATCGGCTTCTTTGAAAGTTCAATTCAAGAATCAAGATACACCTGCTCTGGTAAAAATCAAATCCCAATCACGGAGTTTGCCGACCCCCAAAACTCGGGAATATCCCTGTATTTGAAGTGGAGTTTAACCCAAGCGATTTTAGAAAGCAACATTTAACTTCCGAGAACAGGGGTCTACGTAGTTTTAAGGTTGGCGATTAGTGGGATATACAAATTGATCAAGTATGCAGCGTAGATATGGTCAGATTGGGCACCCTTTTTTGAGATGGGTTGTGAAATGTTTGAGCTCGTCAGAGATTGATGGATGATCCATATATGCGTCAAATTCTATCGAATTGGAAAAGGTTGATTGGATCTTTGAAAAGCAGCAGAGAGGATCAGCAGAATTACATGGTGTACATAATCAGCGAGATCAGCAAGGGCAGTGACATAGAGATAAGTAAACAAGAATCCTCGCTCGGAGCCTCGCAAGGAGAGGGACTCGGTAAGTTTGAAGGATAGACCCTAGACTGTAGCAGTCCGACTTCACATGCGACACGCGAACACCCTTTACCATGTACATGGTTAAGTAGCGAGCTGTATCTTGTGTAGGACATAACTCAGATTTGAGAGAAAGCCAAAGCGGAGCGTTGCTACTGCATTGCCACATGTTGATATTTCTTAGCTGCACAAAGATAGGAGTAATCGAGAGAAAGACAATAGGAATGAAAAGATGATCATTTAAGGCCTCTTCTGTTCCTTACTATTTCATTTAAAACATGTATTACAACACTGATTTGACCGACAAAAGCGGAAGGAAGAATGAGCAAATGAGCAAGGAAAGGTAAAATAAAAGCATTCCATATGACGACTAGAGCACAGTCATTCGATTTTCGATGAGCATAATTTCGTTTTGTAGGATATGGTATAGGTTGACTCGGCCAATCGACCTCAAGCTTTCTCGCGTCGAGGGTTCGAGCTGGGTAAGCGTTAAACGCGAAGAAGGCTTCAGTACAGAGTCGCCTAGAGTCACGTGAAGGGTCACATGAAAGTGAGATATGCAGTCAATAAGTACTAACGGATCGGTTTTCCAGTTTTTGGCTGCCAACAGGAATCGCTCTTTGTGAGTGATAGAAGGGGACGATATCTTCAAATCATTGAGAGCAGCCTAGTAGACAGAACAAGGCGAAAGAATATACGTCAAGGTACGTGTCAATGCTAATATTCAAAGGGTAAGAGTGATATTACATACCTTCATATAGGTTTGATAAGCGTTTGACTTTTTCTTGTTTGCGCCAGCAGCAGGAACGACCTCTAAAACTGTTTGATCAACACGTGCTTAGAATCAGAAACGGGAAGAAAGACTCAAGCGATATGCGAGGAAGGTGAAATGGAATACTGACGAAAAACCCCGAGCGTGCAGCGAGACGCGAAAAAAAGTGAGTATATGAAAAAATACGGTTATCGCCGACAAACGAGGTCTGCCACATGCATTCGAGATGAAGGCAACAGCGGCCAGGGACAAAACTCACTCTTCGGCTTAGGGTCATCAGCTTTCGTAGTAGCAGCCATTGGGGATTTTAAGCAGGCTGAGCACAATCAAGAGGTAAACATGTGGAAAGATTATTGCGATTTAATCAAGAATCAGCCATTCTCGAATGAACTTTATCTGTTAGATAGACAACAACGTTGCGCATTGGGCTGGAAGGATACCAGCAAACGCGCAACGAAGCAAAGAAATATGAGAAGTACGTACGAGTCAAAGGTTTTTGGTAAGGGAAAACGCGTTCAAAGTAGTGTGATGAAGCTTAAGAACCGGTGAAGTTGGATGAATTTAAAGTGAAGTTAAGAGGGAGAAAAGGGGAGAAACGGAAGTTCAAGACGCGAAGGTCAATAGCTTTGGAGAGAACGTCAACCGGTGATCAAGCTGTATTCTGCTACATAACAAGCTGTACAAGTTACATGCGCAAGTTGTTATAATATAATCTTATTCAAGTCTCCTTTGACTTTGATTCAAAACAGTTCAAAACACTTAAAATTATGTACCGAATTCAATGCTTTTTATATCAGCTAAGTTGACTATCTTCAATTGAACTGATCGATGTTGTGTCTGATCACGACAAGACTCACACATCATTATCACTCAGTTCAACAACGTGCTTCAGACTATTTGAAACAACGTTCGGGGCAAACAGTTTAAGTTACCATTCATTTGGGTCATAACCTCATCGGACCGTCTGGCCATGACCCCGAATAGTCTACCTTGTACTGAGGAAATTGCCAATTTGGACAAAGATTCCCAAAAGAAAAGAAAGAAAAACTGCATACTCGCGTAAATCACATGAAGTCTAGTCTGTGCATAATAAAGCTAGCCTCAAAGTTGGCTCCGGTTCCAGTGGATGTTTGATGTTGGCCTGCTCCTGATAGACCCCATTTTCACCTTTAACAGTACCTTGGACATTATGGCATACCCTGAAAGCCTTCTGAGCCCAGTATTATATAGATCCTCTGCTAACCGCATACTACATACCAATGTCATTGATCCCCAAGGTCTTCAAAAACCAGGCAATTGAACACCAGTACAAAAATTCACTTCAAAGGACACAATATATCATCTGGCTTAGGGTGAGCCATGGAACCATATGTCAAAAGACAGGGTTTCTCTTTTTCTCCCCTTCATGAAGGGACTCAGTCATAGCATGCAAGGCACTCATTTAAAAAAGATAGGCAGAGCCATGTATTGTGGCTGATATATGTGAGACTGACTCAGAGTCCTCTTAGCAGGTTGAAGCAAAAACTAGCTTACTCACTCAACTTCTAGAGCTCACCAAGGTCAAGAAAGCTGAACTTTGGTTGATGTTTGAATCTCAATGCACTATATTTCTCTTGGCATCTTTATTTTTCTATGCTGTTTATCTTCCTTTGGGTATTTTACTCTTACTTTTTACCAGCAAATTTCTGTAACCTTGGCTAATTTGCCATTACAATCAGGAGAACTTGCTTGTCTTTGTTCAGATGAAGACAAAGAGATTCTGGACAAGCAGACTATTCCAAATGATTATTTTTCAATCAACACAAAATAAAGTGCACAATGATTCCAGTCAATGGGAGTGGAGCTCCCCTGAAGTAACCACAGTGTGACTGGCAATCCTGTAAATTTCTTGCTCTTCCATGGGACCAAGTCTCCCAACTTAGCAGTGCTTTATGTAAAAATTTGAGAAGCATGGGGCATATGGTGACATAATGACTTTGACATGTGTAGGGCAATACACCACATCTCTAATTTCAATGTGGTTCCATGGTCCTTGGTGTGCATGTGGAAAGAATGAAATCAAGATTATCCCTGCAAAGAATGCTTTAGCCCTCAGGACAGAAACACAACCTCAGGGGTAAGATTACAATGGGGCTCATCAAAGCAAAACTACTCCTCATAGGGGAGTTTGAAATTTTGTCCTTGGAGGACCTATCTCACCAGCAAGAAGCCTTCCCTCAATTGGGTGTAACCTGTGTGGAAGATGATGAGTCTGCCTCTATGGGGGTGATCCTACTGGTTTATATTCTGCCTCATGTGTCAACTCCTCCCTTTGTGATCTTACTCTGCACTGAGTGGACCATCAGGCCAATAAATGTGGGGTGTAAACCCATAAATACACTAGAGCTTCCGCAGGCAAGCCCGCTCTGAAGTTTCAGGCTTTCAAACCATTGCCCAAGTGTACAAGTATAGACAGAAACTTATGAATCAGTTTCACGTTTCTAATTGAATACATGCTTTATTAAAACCAACTATGTTTCAACATATTCCTGGCCCAAGGTTACAACAAGTTTATCCAAAGGCTTGAGTCATTCCACCAATTTGATTGCTACAATTGCTTCAATAGCTCCAGTATGTTGAAAGCGGTCACACTCATTGGCCTTGAAATTGCAATCTTTACTGGCATGGGTGTCAGATTACCGTCTATCTGCTCTTGTTCTAGGAACAAAGTTCCACAACACACTGCAAAAAGGTTCAAATCACGTGAGTCATACAATGACAACCTACACAGCAAAAACACATACCATTGTTGGCTCCAGTTGTTTCTTTACCAAATTTACACATAGTATACACACATCTTGCACTTGGTGTTGAGTGACCTTCAATCCTAAATATGTTATTTTCAAATTTCTGCACATGGTGTATCTCCCCTGTAGGGTATTTGATTCTTGCATTACCCATAGTTGCTACAGTGCAGGCAACAGTGCCATTGTAAGACTTTAACTTAATGCACACCATATAAGTCAATTATCATAAAGCTCACGTTGATTGATTTCAGCTAGTATAAGCCTAAATAGCTGAAGAAGCCTCAATTGGGATTAGATGCAGTTAAACAGGATATGTGATTGTAAACCGGCTGAGATAGATAAGATGTCATGCTATTGGGATGCATCAAAAACAGTGTGTATAATAGGTGACTCTGAGAATTTGATTGAATTTGTGCTTAAAACAACAAAGACCTTGATATAAGATACTGGCCAAAGGTGATCTAAAGAGGAGTGCAGGATAGTAGTTGTGAAATTGAATGAAGGGTTGATACAAGAACAGTGGAGAAATACAAGTGAGAACCAATGCAGAATATGGATGAGAAATTGGTTTTTGAGAGAGAAGGAAAAGGGGGGCTTGAAGTCCAGTTTGGGTACGTTTGTTGCGATTACAAATTGTAAACTCCATTGACCCCAGTAGTAAAGAGTGGAATGGTAGT